GGGGGGAGGGTCGACCCCGTCCGCAAGGCCAGAGGCAGCTGTGTCAGCCCCGCAGCCTCACCTGTAATGGGTGCGCAGCGCATCCAGGATGAACTGAACCCCATACTTCTTCCGCAGCTTCTGTCTGTGCTCCCGGACGATGCTAGACATGTACTGGATGTGGCCTGAGGGCATCACCAGAGGCCTCAGGCCACCAGGCTGAGCTGAGCCCCTTCAGCTATCCCTCCAGGACAGGGCCATGTTCCCCTCACATGCCCCGGGGGAAGACAGGTCCCCTCAAGTCACCCGAAGCGGGGCTAGAGCTTCTCAGAACCTCTACCCCCACCCTGCCCGGTGGCGTCCCTCATCCAAGGCCCCACACCTACCCAGGCGCACGGCAAAGTCACTGGGGCTCCACAGGTGGAAGTTGAAGAGCAAATGCTGGTAGAGCAAGTACAGGAGGGGCCCACTGCCCTCCGCTGCCACCTGCTCCATCAGCAGCTGGGCAGACATGAGCACATTCATGTCCATGGCCCAGCTGGGGACCTGGAGTGGAAGGAGCCAGGGTGAGGTGGCAGGCCCTGGCTGCGTGCTACTGAGCCTCCCGGTACCCACCCTGCCCTGCACAGGCGGATGGACACGAGCATCCTGCCTACTCGGAACCCTTTGCTGGCTCCCCGCTGCCTGCTATGCAGGTCTCCAGCCCCAGCAGGTGCTGATGCTTCCGCCACACCATCAGCCAAATCCTGCCACGCCTGGCAAGGCCCCACTCAGATGCCACCACCTCTCCCAGGAGGCTCTCCTCAACAGACTCAGCTTCCCCTTCCTAGTCCCCCCACCCCGTCCACTTGGTCAGACAGGGCAGCCCCCTCCCCGCCTGCCCCACCTTGCGCAGCAGGGCCCCAATGATGGCAGGCCCCTGGCACTGCACCAGGCTCTCCTGGTTCACTGTGTGGCCCTGCAGGAAGTTCCGCAGCATCAGCAGAAAGGCGGCCACTGCATTCCTCTCCATGCGCTCTTCTACCCGCCACCAGGAAGGGGACAGAAGTGTGTCAAGGGCCTGCCAGCGGTCAAGCACTCTGGCCTCCTTGTCATGGCAAGATTTCCTCGCCACCCCAACCTAGGCACCAGGGCCGCTTACCGGAGGACTTGCCCAGTGGGAGAAGCAGGCCCTGGGTGTTGTGGCCAGAGGTCAGTTCGGGCCCCACGAGGTCATGTGTCTCGGCTGGACCCGCCTCGGCCTCTTGGGGCTGTGAGGCCACTCGCTCCAGCAGGGGCAGCAGGGCAGCCATGCCTCCCACGCAAGTCACCACGTCCTAGGGGAAGGGCTGGCCGTGTGAGGGCAGCTGCCTGTTGCTTCCTGCCCCGTTCCACCCCAGCAGACCTTCCAGTCTGGGAACCTGGGTCCAGGGGAGTTTTGTTCTCTAGAGCTTGTCTCCCAGAGACCTCCCAGCCCACCCTGCACACACACACACGTGCCTGTGTTTACACTCCCTGCACACACTGCCCGCATGGGCACACACACCTTCACGTCCCAGGTCTCCACCCTGTGGCCCGTCAGGCGGCCATCCAGCCTGTGGCCAGGAGACAGGTCCAGGCAGATGTTGTTCTTACAGGCCTGCGGGCAGGCGGCAAGGGTCAGTTGAGAGAGGAGGCGGCACACAGAGTGTGGGAGCCACGGGGGGACGGCGGCAGGGGCGAGCCAGTTGCCTCCCACCCAGTACCTGAGGTGAGTAATGGAGGAGCAGCTTGGTGCTGAGCTCGTGTAGTTCCCCCTCGGGCTTGAAGGGTGCCATCTCATTGGGCCCTGGGGGGTGGGCAGGGGGTTTCAGGCCTGGCTGGGCCTCTGGCCAAACCCCATCCAGAGCCCGCCTCTTCTCTGTCCGATCAGAGGACATATATGCCTAGGGACACCTTCTCCCTCCCCTCCTGGGCCCCTAGTTTCTGGCCAGGGCACTTCATGAGCCCCAACCAGCCGCGTCTGGGGTGGGGTTGGGCCAGTGCGTGGCAGGTGAAGCATACCCAAGGTGCTCAGGGCCCGCAGGGCCGCTGCCTGCAGGGCTTCGTGGAAGATGACCACGGCTCCCAGCTCACCCTCCAGAGACGTGGGGCTGCCCCACCGAGTGTCCTGTGTGCCTGCAAGGGTGGAGCTGATGCTGCCCTCCTGCAGGGGGGCCACCAGCCCCGACCCCCAGCCAAGCCCTGCGGTAGCCGGGACCGACTGGGAGCGGGACAGGGAGGGGTGAGCGTGAGCCAGGGCAGCGGGGACTGGTGGCAGAGGCAGCCCCGTGGTGGTGGTCGTTGTGCGGTGCCCAGCGGAGCCGATACAGCAGGAGGAGAAAGGCTGCGGGGCCAGGGTTGGGGGAGTGGTCAGGTCACAGCAGAGCCTGGGGCTCCACCTGCATCCGGTTCCTCACAGTGACCCCCAAGGCTGCACAGACCCCAGAGGCTGAAGTCTGAGGTCTATGTGGGGTGGGGGTGGGGGACACGGGCTGCAGGCTTCACCCTATCCAAGACACTCCCGCTACCCAAGGCCTCCCCAAACCCTGCTTGGCACACCTCACTGAGAGAGGGGCAGCGGAGGGGTGCTATCTTGACCAGATGGCCGTCTTTGTAGACATGGACCAGGTTCTGGCTGAAGGGCCGGCGCCCAGGCATATGGACAATGGCCACGCAGTGCTAGAACAGAAGCCACAACATCAAGCCATGGGCTGGCACTGGGGGCCTCCTCCACCCACGCCCCCTGGACCACACGAGGGTAGAGGCTCACCCAGGCAGAGTCGGCAAAGGACACTTCAGGCAAGCTCATGGTCAAGTACTCCTTCCGGGTACACACGGCCACCACCAGTGTCCCAGCTGCCGTGAAGAAGGCCTCAAACCCTGAGCCGCTGCTGGTGAAGAAGCTGGGGGGAGGCCAAGCCAGTTATGCCTGCTGCTCTCCTCACCCTGGCCCTGCGCCCCGGTCCCTGGAAGTTACCCACCTGTACAGCTGCTTCCGCTGGAGTGGCCGTGAGGGGGCCGGGGCAGGTGCTGCAGCCGTGGGGTGCAGACAGAGCCAGGCATGGAAGGTGAAGCCGGGTCCTGGCCATCGCTGCACGGGGGGTACCATAATACCGGCCATGCTGGGCGTGAGGTCAAAGTAGTGCAGGGCTCGTGCAGGGCCCCGGTGCCGGGCCATGCCCGACAATGCACGAATGATGGCACCGGCGTGTCGGGCATTCCCAGCCTCCGCTCCGCCCAGCCCCGAGTCCAGCCCTGGCGGGGGGCGCAGCAGGCAACGAAGCTCCAAGGGCCGCAGAGACACACGGCCCAATGCCTGCAGCAGCGCCAACAGCTGCTCCTGGCAGCGGACCCCCAGGGCGACCCCCGTGCTGAGCGTCTCCAGCAGGTAGCCCACCAGACCCGCCTGCACACACGTGGAGCGGCTGGCGGGGCAGCTGTCGCAGAGCCACCAAAGGCGTTGTGCGAGGAAGAGCCGCAGCTCCGCCGTGGGCAGGGCCGGCAGCCACTGCATCAGCATCAGCACGGGCTGCTCGTTCAGGATCGGTGGCGGTGGACATACACTGTGGTCCCCCTCCACAGCCTATGGGGAGAGAGAACAGCATAGTTCCTGGGCAACTGGCATGGGACGGGCCACCCTGCCAACAGTGGGACTCCCCGGCCTCAGTGGATTTGCCTTCGGCATGGGAAAGCAACACGTGCTACCCCATCTTGCTCACGGGGCAGATCTCAGGTTCAGGAAAGTTCAGGGAAGTTCAGGACGAGCACCGTTAATTCCCGAGCCTTGACTTTTGGTCTGGGTTGGCCTGCCCCAATGGCGTGTTCCCAGGATGATCTTGGGGCTTGCTCACACGTACCAGAATCTTCACCCCAGTGCAACTGACACATGTGCTCAGGCCACAGGTCACACTATGTACTGCCCACAGCCAACACAGTCCCCAAGGTGGAGAGTTCCCCTTCCAGGGAAACCCTCAGTCCTGACCGCCTCTGGGACCCTGACGCCAAAATGCCCCTGCCCTCACCATGTTGAGTAGCTCCTGCAGCAGCCGATGGGTGGGGGGACCTTGGCTCTGCAAAACCTCGTGCAGGTGAGGGTAGCCAATGCGCTCTTTAAACACCTCCTGTGCAGGGTTGTGTGGGGAAAAAGTGAGCATGTGTGTGGGCCCCGGGGCAAACACACCCCACGGAAACCCTGGAGGAAGCGTCATCTTCCAGGGCTCCCCCGCCGGCTCTGCCTCTGGGTCGCAGTGCTAGCAAGGGCAAGGGGCTGTGGGTGGATGTGGGGGCAAGGGTCCCCCTCAGAAGGCTCTAGATGGTGGTTAGCCCACAAGTATCCTCCCTAGTGCTTCCCTGACCCAGGATATCCAGCTGCCAGCACTGACCGATGACCATGTCTGCCCAGTGGGCTGAGCTGCACCCCAGAGGGCAAGACGGTCACCTCCCCAGCTCCCTTGCTCTAACAGCCACCAACCAGACTAGTTCTGGGGGCACGCGGTCAGCTTAACTGCCATCCCCCACCCCTACCACAGCCAGAACGCCGTGTCCTCACCTTGGCTGAGGGGGAGCCGCTCATGATGCAGGTAAGTACTCTGACTACGTGCACCGCGATGGCATCTGTGTCCTGGTCCAGTACCTTGGGGTGGGGAGGGTCAGTCAGAAGAACCGGGGGCCAGGGGGTCATAGCTGGCAGCCCCCTGCTCCTGGTGTAGGGCCAGGAGCAGGTGCCCCAAGGCACATAGCTGAGCTGGCTGGAGGCTTTGGGAGTAGAGGTACCAGGCCTCCTCCTCCTTGCTTGAACTGTTATGACCCTCACCCTACCCCAGGGCCCCCTCTGAGGAGCTCGGCAAGGCCCACTTTGACAAAGAAGCCAGGAAGAAACCAAGACCAGGAAGTGCCTCACTGGGACACATCAACAGGGGACCCTCTCGCCATAACTCTTGATCCCCCAGTGTCTGGTAGGCTTACGGGCCCCCACCCATCCCTACCCAAGCTAAACACACATGTGCAGGCAGGCAAGTGCCCCATCACCCATGATGATTGACAGGGGGTTGGGGAATTTAGGGACCATCAATCACAGGATGTTAGAACCGGAAGAACCTTCGAGACCTTTGAGTCCTACCCTGCCCCTTGCCCCTAGATCCAGGCGGAGACACTGAGGCTCACCCTGGCTGAACCTGACAGCTAGAAGCATGTGCTGCTCACTCGCCCTGCCCCACCCCTGAGGACTGAGGGGTCAGCAGGGCTTGGAGAATTTGTCAACAGGGGCCAGGCTGTATTTGGGCCCCATGGGGCCTGACTCCCTAAGTGACTTCACACGACCTTTTTCCCCTCTCTGGGCCTCAATTTTTTTCTCATCTGTGAAAACCGAGGGTCTCACCTGCCTTGCCTGCTTAGTAGATGAATAGATATGCAGGCTCTCAGAAAATAGGCAAGTGTAATGGCTACAGGGGGCTGCCTCGTAAAGACAAAGCTGGGAGACTCTAGAGGTTGGGGCCCAGGTGTTAAACCACCAGAGAGAAGGCTCTCCACACAGAGCCCCTAACTGACAGCTTGCAGCCTCCTACAGCCCTCATGCAAGGTGAGGCAGGCAGCACATCATAAGGGGACAAGGGACTCCCAGTAACCTGCTTAAGGCAGGGACAAGGACCCATGGAAAGAAATGGCCCCATGTGGGGGACCTCCTTTTCTGTGAGTGACTATAGCCAAATCCAGTAGTATCTGGGCCTCAATCTCCGCTTCTGGGAATGGGGGTAGGTGGTTGAGTTTCGAAGGTTCCTTCCAGCCTGGCAAAGCCAAACTCTAGCTCCCAATACAAATACTAGGCAGGGCACAGAACACTCCTGCCCATTCCCTAGGATAAGGATAGGGAAGGTGGGCAAGATAGCATGGGGGACCCAGCCCTGTCGCTAGGCCACACCAGACCTTACACATGTCTGCTCATTCCCCCTGCATAGGCAGGAAAGGCTTAGAGAGGAAGCCACAGCGGGTGGGGACCCAGGGAGGTGAGTGCCTGAGCTGGTCAGCCCCAAGGTGGTACCTTCTGGACATCGGGCTCGGTCAGTAACCGGGTAGCCAGGTCACTGTCCCCCTCAGGGGGCGCCCGGGCCTGCAGGTACAGCTGTGGGGAAGGGGGAAGGCACAAGATATAGGAGGCAGAGGAGAAGAGGAGGAAGATGGGGGGAGGGGTGGGGTTAGAGCAGGACCTGGGGCGGCTGCTAGAGCTCCACCCCAAGGGAAGGCTCTGTGTGCCCCAGGCCGAGTGCCCCACCAGGCACTAAGAAGAATGGGGGAATCTGAGCTGCCCATGCCCTGCTCAGAACAGAGTCGGGGAGGGTGGGGCAGATAAGTGGGCAGGAGAAGGTACTGTATCTAAAACAGCTGAGCCCTCTTCCTGCCCTCGGACTTGGGGCTGGGGAAAGAGGGACCAGGGGCCAGGGCAGCTCCGGTCCTTCCAGGACATCCCCCTCCTATGGCATGCAGAGCCATCCTGAGCTTTAGGCCATCCCACCAGCCACAACCCCCCCCCTAGCCAAGTCCAGCCCAGGTTTGCTCAGCAGCAGCTCAGTCCCCAGAAGTGGCTCAGCAGCCTCTGGGTCCCAGGCCCTCCCTGCCAGCCGGGCCCAGCCCACCTTGCTATTCTGGATGAGGCGAGTAAGGTGCTCAAAGCAATTGTTGCTGAGGAAGGTGGCCTGCAGCACCGGCCGGTCCTCACATGCCAGCATCATGGGGATGGCATCTGTGGAGGGATCCAGGGTCAGCCCCGCTCAATCCCTTGTCAGCAACACCTCCGCTCGGCCTTAAACCTTCTTCCCATGCTTCCCAGTCCTGCCTTCCATCGTCCTTTAGACCTTTCCCTGCTAGAGCCACCTCCCCAAGAGCCTGGGAGCCCATACCCACCGAGCATGCTGACCCGTAGGGTGACGAGGGCCTCTTCAGGGCCTGGGCTTGGGCCCGCCGGCCAGTCGGCATTAAGGATGCGGAAGTAGCCCTCAAGCAGGGTTCGGAGCTCTGGCCCACGAGGGGGTGTGCGGCTGGCATGCAGGACATGTACTGCACCCACTAGTGCCTCCAGTGCCAGGGGCACTAGGCGGGGGTCCTGGGCTGGCCCATGGTCCCAGCCCCGTACCACACCCAACAGGCCCTGCACAGAGCCGGCGCTCACAGCCATCTGCCCGTTCTCCTGCAGGTGTGGGCAGAGATGGCAATGGTCAAGGCGCTCAACCAGCAGAGACCCTGAGATGGCCACCCTCTGGTCCACAGGCTCTTCCTGGCTTACCTTCCCTCCTGCAAGGACAGCACCAAAGAGGTGGACGAGACGCAAAAGCAGCACAGGAGGCAAGCCATCTGCATCCTGCAGGCTCTCTGGATAGGGTGAGTGGGCAGGACAGGACAATGTCACCAAGCTTGCAGGTGCCCTGGGGTGGGGGTAGGGGGCTGGGGCTGAGAGAAAAGACCTGGCTCTGTACTTGGGGGGTCTAAGATGCCATGGCTCTGTGCCAGGGTGTCTAGGGAAAACACAGCCCTTCTTTGGGGAGCTTGAAGGGACGTGGTCCTGCCCGGAGAGCCTAGCCAGTTCCCCAGATCCTTAATCCCCAATGTGGGGACCCCAGGGTAAACACACACACCCCACCCCACTTCCCCATGGCAACCCAGGGTTTAGTTTCTCAGATACAAATCTGGTCCCTCTACCCTGTTGACGGTTGGAGCTTCCTGTGACCTGCTCTGGGGACTTTGCTGTATCTACCATACAGATGCCCCCCCACCCCCACCCATGCGCCTGCTGGGGACTTCTAGGGGCTTTCACAGCTTCATATGTGGGAGGCCCACCTGGCCCTGCTCCAGCAAAGCTGGACAGGATGCCAGGCCACAGAATGAAACCCAGAGAGCAGAAAGGACCAGCCCTGGGTCACATGAGTGGTGTGTATGGTGAGGGGGGGGCGGGCAAGGGCAGGGCTCACTAGATTTACGTGGGATGGGGTGGGACAGCTCCCTGGACACAGGGCATTTGAGAGTGCAGGTGGTCTGGGCAGGGAAAGAAAACAGTAGGAAAAGACGTGGTAACTAGTCGCATTCCAGGACTAGCAGACTGGGTGCAGAGGGCAAGTGGGGCTGGAAAGGGAGGCTGTGGGAGGAGCAGGATCTGATCCCGAGGTGCCAGGCCACCAGTGAGGGGTTTAGGGCAATGGGAACAAAATCCAGTCTGTGCTGGGAAGTGCATTCAGGTTGTGGGACAATAGAGGCAGGGAGTTCCCCAGGGGCATCTCCTCTCTTGCGGCTGTTGCCCCTGCTCCAGATGCCAGGCCTGCAGCTCCACGGGACATCCCAGAGACACTTAGACACTTTCTGTCCCCACAGGCCACCACTTTACCAAGCCTGGCCTGCCCCTGTCCACGCACACCTTGCCCTGTCCCATCTAAGGTCTTGGCCACTCTCATTCCAATGAGAGGAAAAGAGGGGACCTAAGAGAAGAGGGCTCCCAGGGGGCACAGGTCCTGGAGGAACTGACCCCAGGACCGAGGGAGCAGGAAGTAGAGACACTTAGTGTAGACGTTACCTAGAAGAGGGGTGGAGGCTGCAGGGACAAAGGGATTGGACCTGGGAGTTTTCAGATGGTCCAGATCAGAGTGGGGTCCAAGTGGCTACGGGGACCCAAGAGGTGGGGGGGAAGGGGGAAGGGAAACTTATCTCCCCCACCTTATGGGAGGCCTTCACTCCATCCCAGAAAAGAAATTACTCATTTTGTTCTGACATGCCCTTTCTGTCCTCTCTGCCCCCGAAGTCCTCCTTGCCCCTCCCCGCGCCAGGGGCCCCCTCAGTTTCCCGTGGTGCTCCCAGCCCTGTTTGCAGCCACCACTAAGCACAACCCATCCTGCTTCTGGGATGGGGAACTGCAGGACAGCAGGAAGGGGCTCAGGTTTGGGGGCGGGGCCAGGTGGGGCCTTGCGGGAGGGGGGGAGGGGCGGGGCCTGACCTCTGAAGAAGGCGCTGAATTCACTGGGCAAAGCAGCTGGAGGGAACTTGTATTTGCTCTTCTCCTTGGAAGTGATGACTTCCCTGGGGGTGGGGGTGGGGGATGGGCAGGGGCCCGGGTGAGGCCGGCACCCCACCCCTCTTTGGCCATCCTCCTTCACCAGCCTACACCCGTGCCCCCTCCCACCCCCACACCTTGGCCAAAGCGGTTCCCCGCATTCTCTCCCCAGCCTTCTCTGGGGATCAGGGGTGGCTAGAGGGTAGAGCCCCCTCTGCGGTGGGCTGGCTCTCACCCACTATGCTGGCGCCGCCAGGTCTGGTAAGGGTCAAAGAGGCCCTCGCAGAGGAGAAGGGCATGCAGGGCCACGTTCTCCAGCTGCGGCCGACGGTCCTCCTGCGATGCATGGGCTCCTTTCAGCTGTAGGTATGGGGACAGGGTGGAGGGGGTTAGCTGGGCCCTGGCTACCGCCTACCACCACCTCCCCACCCAGGGTAGAGCCCACCTCACCTCTGCCGTCAACCAGGTCAGCAATGCCAGCACCCGGGGCACCAGCACCTGGCCCCAGCCCGCCTCTACGTTCTCCAGGTTCCTGGAGAGAGGTCACAGAGGTCACAGGCACAGGCCAGCCCCACCTCGGCCCACAGTTCCAAGCTGCCCCCCACCTCCCCGTGCCGAGAACAACACGGACTCACCTGCAGAGAATGATGAAAAGCTTGAGCAGCAGCAGGGCCTGCTCCAGGTCCCCCTTGTCTAGCTGCTCGGCCAGCACGTGCAGCGCGTCCAGCGGCAACAGCGGCACCTCTGCGCCTGCCTCCTCTGGCCTGCGGGGAGGGGGGTCACTAGGGCACCAGGCCCCTCCGTCTCCCTGCCCCGCCCCTGCCCTCCGTGGAGATTCAGCCTCACCTGCGCGGCTCCAGAGAGAACAGCGAGATGCTTTTCTCGAAGGCACCCACGAAGGCCTTCAGCCACTGCTGCAGGTAGCCCAGGTCCTTCTGCAGGCCAAGGAGTGGGGGGGAAGAGCAGTGGGAGACAGAGAGGGTTCAGTGCACATGGGAAGGACAAGGGGGTGTAGACAGCAACGAATGGAGGTAGACGTGGGGTAGACAGGGGTTGGAGGCAGAGCAGTGCAGGTGGAGACAGTGAGGGACGGGGAGGGGAGGAGGATGGGAAGTTGGAAGGTCAGCATCAGAGGACTACCCCGCATACTGACAGCTCTCACGGGCTCCCTGTCTGCTTTCCCCAGTCTCTGCTCCCACCTCCCTAACTCCTGGGGACTCAGGCAAGCCTGACATAGGCAGGGGAGGGTGGGGCTTAAGTGTGCACAGTCCTGGGATGTGGCCATGGCCCACACTGGTGCTGGGGCTGAAGGCCTTCCACCCTCCAGCCACCCCTGATCCAAAGGCTTGGGCTGGCCTCTGCCTTCCACCTTCTCTCAGCTCAGCAGCCGCCACTACCTCCAGGAGACCTTCCCTGACTATGGCTCTGGTGCTACATGTACACCATGGGTCAGGCAGACCCATGCACACGAACACTCCCCGCAAGTACAAGCAGAATGCCCTACCTCGCCCTGGGAACCTAACGCCCTCCCTGGCTGGTTACCTGGACCCCAGGCCCCAAAGCCGGCTCCATGGGCAAGAGGGGCAGCGGCTGAGCCCGAGTCTGGGCGCCGCCAGGGAAACTTTGGTGTGAACGGGAAATGTCCCCTCCCGCCCCGGCAGGGGCAGGAAGCGCAGAGTCACGGTGGGGGAGGGGGGCCGCTTCCTCCCGGCAGACCGCAGGGATGTGGGGGGGCCCCCCCGGGGCACCCAGGGCCCTGCAAGAGAAGCTGCGAGGGACCTGGCCCAGCAATGGGGGCGGGGCCTGGAGTGCAGAGGGGCGTGGTCACCCTGCTCTGGGAGGGGCTTGGAGACCAGGGACTCGTTTCACTGGCATGAGGTCTGGACTTGGGGAGTCAGGGCAGGCCTATCTAGGGACAGGTTCTGATCCCTGATGCTATAGGGGCCCTTCATTCAAGGCACTCAGAGCTTCCTCACCTGGATCCAACACTTCAGGCCCAGGGAACAATGTGGATTATGGAGGACTCAGTCATACCTTTGCCCTGTCCCCCTTCCCTGTGTCCTGGACTTCCCACCTGGCCCTACTGGTCTCTACCCCAGGGACACAGTTGAGTAGGTCCTAGCCTAGCCCCAGTTGGCTCTAACCGCTATGCCCCTCCCAGGCCACAGAGTGGGTGGTGGCCTGGAGCTCCTCCTCCTCCCCAGTCCTCCCTCCCACATCTGCAGCTCCACCCCCAAACCAGCTGAGCCCAGAAGGCAGCTTTCTTTCCCAGGGGCAGAGGGGTAGGGCAGGGACTGGACTGGAGAAGGCTGAAGGGGCAAGGGACACATCATAGGTGCTGCGTCCCCGGTGCCATGGACCTCAACCCAAGGACTTCTGGAACTACCTCGGGTGGATGGCTCATTTCTGCTGCCTGCAGACCCCAGACCACAGGATAGGGACTGAATGGACCCCAGGGAAAGGGCTAGACCTCAGCAGAATGGGCCAGGAGCACAAGAAACCTAGGCAGAGCAAACCCTCACCCTGTGGCTGGACACCTTACTTGTGCATTTGTCACAGACCCGAGGCCTGGGCAACTGTGAGAGGGGCTGGGACTACCAAGGTGCAGGCCCACACCACCGTGACTTTTTCTCTGTCAGTTACCTTCGGTGACCTCTCCACCCGCTGCCACTGGCAGCCTTCCTGCTCCCCTACCTCTGTCCACACCCCTTCTCTCCACCAATCAGCAATGACACCAAAATGCCCAATCCTGAGACACCAGAGCAGGCCAGGCTCTTTGACCACTTCTTCTGAACATTTCCCATTGCGTTGGGGGAAAAAGGGGGCTCCAGAGAGGATGTCTCATCCACTAGAACCGCTTCAGCTGCTCTTCTGAGGGTGTTGAAAGCCAGATCTTTGTTTTAGGCCGGGGCCACTCATGGTTGCTGGCCAGCCCATCCAAGCTGACCATGTGGCCCCTGCCTCAGCGACCCCACAGATCCCGGTCTACCTTCAAAACTGGCCCAACACCATCCTCTCCTCTTCTACCCCCCAAACCACCCCCAGGTAAGCCACAGACATCTCTCACCTAAAATGTGAGTCCCTTTTGCCCACTGTAGCTCTGCTGAGCCCCTGAAAACCCAAGTTTGACCGCGTCCACCACCCCTCCCCCACCCCGCCCCACCTCCACCCCGCCCACCCAACCTAAGGATAAAGGCTCAACTGAGCCTGGCATTCCAGGCCCCCAGTCCAATCGCACCTGCTTCTCCAGGCTCTCCGTCCACTCTGCATCACATCCTCCAGTCCAGGCCTCTATCCACCCCATGCCCCGCTGCCATCTGTGACCTGGGCTTTTGGTACTTAAGCAGAAACCTGCCACCCTCTTCGTGGCCATCACCTGGACTGACCCTCCCAGAACCTGGGTGGGCCCCTCAAACTCAGCACACTCCTGCTTTCCATCCCTAGAACCACACCCTTGGGCCTGTCCAGCAGGTCCAGGCTGGGCTGGGTTCAGGGCTGAGGCAATCAAGGTAGCCTTCATGGCTCTGGAAGGAGCATAAGGGGTCTCTCTAAAGCATAGGACTAGGGAGGATAGGGGTATCTGCCTCTCTCACCTCTGACCTGAGCCCCATGACATGAGGCTGCGGTGCTCGGGGGCACAGGGGTCCCTGCAGGGGTCGGGGCTCACAGTCACAGTGGCAGTGTTGAATGCCAAGGGCTCCAAGAGCCGGAAGAGGCGGCTGTGGTGCCTGGGCTTCCCACACTCTGCCTCCACTGGCTCCTCCCTCCCTTCCCAGCTCAGAGCAGGAATGCTGGGCAGGGCCAGTCCAGTCCCTAACTTGAAGGGGCCAGGGCCCAACCCCACCTCTCCCACGAGCACCCACACTCCTCCTCAGGCCCTGGGGCTCATGTGTAAGTGGTAATGAGGCTCTGCTGCAGGTGAGCAAGCTGCGGGGAGGGGGAGGTCAGTGGACCCGGGACAGATGAGGGGGGACTCACGACCACGTCTGCAGGAGCCCCAGTCTATGCCCGGCCAGCCCTGAGGACACTCAGTACTAGGGGTGGGGAGACCCCAAGGGCTATTTGGGCCCAAATAGTCCCTGGGTGGGCACTGAACTACCACTTCCCCAGAACTCTGAGGTAACCCAGGAGGGCTGAGGGCAGGCAGCTTTGGCGTGGATGGGTGGGTGGGGCTGTCTGCCAGGGGACAGGGACGACCAAGCTGCTTGACACCGCGCTGCCCTTTGACCTGCTTGCCCTGCCCCAAGCCCAACACCGGCCCTGGCTTGCCCTGGGTGTCACCTCAGGGCCCAGACCTGGCTTCAAACCCCTCTCCCCATCACCACCTCTCTTGGAGTTTACAGTGGCGCAATAAGCAAAAATTCCTTAACCAGCGTCTGGCGTCCAGTGTGCCTCAGGTACGCACGAGTGGCTGCCACTGTCTGATCAGCCAGTCACCCACCCAGCACGAGGTTTAGGCAAGTCCACGGCCTCCTCCCATGTCACAGCACCCCGTACCCCCTGGATGGCCCAGCCCCAAGGCATGACTCTCTGTCCCCACGCCCACGGGTCTGTAACAGCTTTGCCCTCCATGCTTCCTCTGCCTGAATGCTCCCCAGAGCCAGCATCTTTTTCAAGACCCAGCCCTGTCTGGTGATTCAGGGGCTGGGGCTGCCAGTCAGGGGCTGAGGGCACGGGTTCTGGAGTCCAGCCCCGGTTCTCACATTTAGTAGGCTGTTACTCAACATTAATCTCTTTACGCTTCAGCTGCCCCAAAAGGCTCGCTAGCCACACCCACCAGCACCAGGTAAGGCGAGCGGGGAGCTCCATCCCCAAATCCAGGGGCTCTGCCTTCCCAAGCCCTTGGCATGCTAGAGCAGCACTAACGTTCTCCCCACACACCTCGGTGAGTGACTAACGAGTGGCGGACCTTGGCTCACTAGCAGAGCCAAGGTCTCACGGGTGGCTGTCCCAGGTGGGTAGAATGGGAGTCTGTTGGTGGCCCCCAGGTTAGAGCCAGGAACAGGGTAAGGAGAGAGGATTGTAGCTCCACAGTGGGTGACCGCTCCTGGTCAGAATTGCCTGGGTGGTAGTGAGCACCCCATTTCCAGGGACAGGCAAGCAGAAATGGGACAGGGTGGGGTGGGGTCTGGTCAGGATAAACTGTTACAGGCCTGGGGGTCTTCCCGCTCAGCATCAGGAGGGTGATGGCAACGTCAAGCCGAAGGTGGCTTCTGGCTACACCATGGGGCCCAGAGGTCAGACTTGGAGGACCTCAGGTCAAAGAATGAAGCAGGAAGATGGGGACTTTGCCAGAGGCAATGGCAACTGAGGCACAGTGCTACAAGTTCCCCGGGTGGCTGGACCAGGCTCTCCCCCTTACCTGAGGATGGGGTCTTGAAAGGGGTGGACCTTTTGGTCTCCATAATGCCCCCTAGGGCTTAACCTTCCCCTTGTCCTATCACTATGGAAACCAAGAATTTCCTTCCAGGGTCCCCATAGTAACCGACCTTGTTTCCATGGGGACCCCACACTTCCACATCAGCTCCCCAGTTGCCATGACAACTCCAGGGATTACCAGCCCCTCCCCCCACGCCTGGGCTCTGTGCTACTCTCCCCATCACCTCAGTCCTGCCCTGTCAGCTGCCTTAGGAATAAAGGCAGGGAAGAGGAAACCCTGGTTGCTCCTCTGAAGTATAAGCACTAAGGAGGCTATTCTGCCTCGCTTTTCCCCATTTGAAGAGGGTAAACTGAGGCACGGGGAGGCATATGATGCAGCTAAAGTCCCAGAGGAAGCAGAGGGCCTGACCAGGTTTCCATGAAGCAGTGGAGGTCAGTAGTCAGGTTAAGGACCAGTGAGGGGTGAACAGAGCAACCTCACCTCCAGCTCCAACCTGACCTCCCTGGAACCCCGAGTCCTCAAAGGCATAACTGGAGAGTTCAGCCTGGGCTCCCCACCTGTAACCTGAATGTCTGACCTGTCCTGACCCTGGCAGCCCTGAGCACCCCCAGATGCCATGCCCCCCAGCACTCCCTTTCACTGGGGGGCTGTTGAGCAACACTACTGCTCCGCCCAAAGAGGGGCTGCTCATGGGCGTGTTATTTTGCATAACTTTTACATGCTGCCCAACTGCCAGCCTGCTGGGTGCTGTTCCCAGTCCTCCTGTCCTCACCCCCTTGCTAGCCCTCCCTGGGGAAGCCCCCACCTATCGCCTAGGCACCCCCTCACTCCTGACAACTGGCCTCTCGTGCTTCCCACTGCCTTGTGCTGGCTCCTGGAGTTCCCATCCCCTCTGCCCACAAGGCCCAAACTAAGCCTCCGATGGCATGACAGGTCACTGTTGTGGGGCCTGTCTCCTGCATCCAGCCACTCAGCTAACACCTGCGGAGCCTCTGCGAAACGTGAGGTGGGGGGAAACTGCCAAGTAGCAAGCACAGTGAGGGTGAAAATGGGGACCTGCCTGATCTGAGGTCCAGCCCAGTCAGGGGGACAGGAGACAAAGGCCCCCCCAAACGGGAAGGAGAAGACTCCATGCAGAGGAAACAGCTTGTGCTGTCCCAGGGTGCAGGACCCACTAGTCCTGCCCACAGAACTAGACCTTTCCCAGGACAGAGACTGGGTCAGAACTCTGCCGGACTCTGCCCCAAATGTGTCCGATGACCTTGGTATGACCCTGCCTTGGTTTCCCTACCAGGGCCCCGAGGGGCTCAGATTGAGTGATGTCCAAGGGCTACTCCTCCCTCAGCAGTGCTCCTTCCCCAGTTGTGGCCCCTAGAGGGAGGGGGGTGGGCGGGTCTGAACCTGGGGTCTGTGAGGAGAAAGGAAGGGCAGAAAGGGGGGGTGCTCCCCTGGGCGGGCCTAGACCCACAACTGGGAAAACAGGTTTGCCAGCTGATGTCAGCTCTCTGCTGAGGGGAGGGGCATGGTTGTTGGGAGAGCCTTCTGACTGGGTGGCTGGCCAACTGAGGGGTCTCTTAACACAACACCCTCTATCAGTCTTACCTTATCTTACCCCTCCCCCAAGCGCGCACACACACACACACACACACACACACACACACACAAACACACACACACACACAATAGGTCCCTAGCAGGGCTCAAAGTAGCACAGCCACTACTCCCTGGGAGCCCAGCATGGAGGGGTGGGGACTTGTTCCGAGAGCAGGAGCAGGACCATGTGGGCAGGAAGGCAGCACTGGGAGGTTGGCCGAAGCTTCCGGTTCATACTCACATCCTGGATTTGTTTGCTCGGCCCTAGGCCACCCCCTGACTGCCCAGGCTTCTGGGGCTACAACCAGCCAGCCTGTGCCCCAGACCTGCCCTGATGAAGTGAGGAGCTGGAAGGGAGAGGGGACTCAGCACAGATGAGTGCTAACCACCCCCCCCCCGAGGGAATAGGGGGGCTGACCATTTGCAGAACTCAACTAGAAGGGTAGGCAACCACGCTATGCTGGAGGTACAGTCCTGGGAGACAGTACCAAGGCAACCTGAAGACCCACCATTAACGTCCCTCAGACTCATTATCTGGTTCAAGTGCCCCCTCCCCCCGCCCCGCCCTCGTCTGGTCACCACAGGGAAGAAACTGAGGACCAAGAACCTGCCCACAGCCACACGGGCAATCAGACGCATGGGGGCCAGGGGCAGATTTCCTTCTGAATCTTTTCCCTTCCCAAAGACCGACCCTTGGAGATGTCAACAGAGAGGCCTGGATAAGGGAACCCAAGGAAGCAGGAACTTTCTCTGGTTCAGACAAGCCATACTGGCTACTTCTCTGCAGAGTCTAAGCTACCCTGAGATCAAGGGTGTGCCAAATTTACAGACAGAGACTCAGAGGTGTAAAGAGCTTGCCCTGGGTCACACACGCTGCCTCCTGCTAGGGGCCTGGACCTCTCACCACCTAAGGGGACTCAATAAACTGTGGCACTTATGGCCTGTATTCTAGGTCCCTAGGGCCCCCCAGATCCAGCCTGCAGTCCTAGGAGACAGTCAGCCAGCCTCTTCACAGAGGGCCAGCTGATCTGGTCATGAACTTCCCCCTAGTGACGAGATCAGGGGCACACAATAGCCCATTGTGCCCAGGGCACACCTGAGCCAGCAGCATGATGCCAGGCAGGTGTAGGGAGGGAGGCTGATGCTAGGTGAAGAGGAGGGGGGCATTACCCTGGAATCCCTCCCTGCTGTGAAAGCAGAAGGAAAGTGGGAGCCTATGTGTGTGAGACACAGAGTTTGGGGGACACCAGATTTTCAGCTCTCACAGGACACCTGGGTCAGAGTCACTCCCTTCACCTTCAGAGGCCACTTGAGGTAGTCTCTGAGACAGGACAGGGAACTCAGGAGGGGAGGGCTTCCCTCCATCCCTTTCAAACATCCCTCCTAGCTCACCTCCCCTACCCCCTCCTTCTGCATCCAAGGCAAATCTTTCCTTCTGGCTGGACCCCCAGGAGGTAGGGGCCTCCTCGGTCAGGGTCAGGGAGGAGCTCATCACTGCTGGTGCCCTGGTGGGGAGCAGTCTGAGTTGACTCAAATCAGATCAAAGCAGGACCCTACCTTTCCACCTCGCCTGCTGGCACCCAGAGTCCACTCCGACCCATTGACCACGACCACCCAATGGGGCCTCGCCCACAGGAGGGGCAAGCCCAAATGCAAACTAAGGCTTCCTGCCTCTCCCAACCCTCCCAGTCTCTCGTTTATTTTCCGGGCCTCAGTTTCACCATCTGTAAAAGGGGGGAAGTGTCCAGCCGTCTGTATCTGGGTCCCTCTCCTCATCAGGCACGACCGAGGCTGCGCGGTACCCAACCCAGAGGCTCTGTTGAGGTGCACGCCCGCGAGGGTCATCCCCCAGGTATAAGTGCCGGAGGCACCGGCGGGCCGGGGGCGGCGCACACGTGTGTGCGGAGCCCAAGTCCGCCCGGCGCGCGCTCATCTACACGGCCCCAGGGACGCGGGGCGCAGGTGCAGCAGGCGCGGGGCTCGCGGAGCTGGGGCACAGCGGGACGGCGTGGGGCGGGCTCACCTGAGCATAGTAGAGCAGCCACAGCTCGTACAGCCGCTCCGAGGCGGCCATGGCCCGGCCCGGCTCCGGCCCTGCTGCGCGCCACCTGCCGCCGCCGCCGCCTCCGCGCCGCCCGCCGGTTGCCCTCGGCCAGGCCCATGGGCGGAGGGCGTCACTCCGGGGCGGAGCGGCGCGGTACTACTCGGGGAAGTAGTACTGGCCCCCGCCGCGCCGAGCCACCTAAGTCTGCACGCTCCTCCTCCTCGCGGCCGGCCGCCGCCCGGCTTCCTGCACTTAGCTGCCGCTACCGCCGCCCCGCCTCTCCCGGGACCGTGCAAAGGGCGGGGAGCCCGGAGGGAGGAGGAGCTTGAGGTCAGGCGGCCCCGGAGGGCGCCCCGCAGCCCAGCTCGCAGCCGCAGCCGCAGCCGTCCCCTAACAGTGCCTTGAAAAGGGCCAATCTGAGTCTCCCTGACGAGGGCCGGGGTCAGGTTTTCCAGACTCGCCCTTAGTCTAGATCCACCCCCGGAGCAGCCCGCTTAGCTGGAATTGCCACCTTTTGTGCGAGGAACAGGGTCTGGCGGGGGAGGGGTGGGGGGACTGCGGGATGTGTTCAGATGGCCAGATTCCGTCAACAAATAATGGTAACAACAGCCACGATGACACTTGTGGAGTTTACCACGTGCCTGGTGCTGTTCTAAGCACTTTCATGGGGGAGACCAAATATGCAATGTTTTTGCTTCTACTGTTTGTGGAGCAGGATGGGGGAAATCAGAGCGCAAGCAGCAGGGCATTCCCAAAATACCTCCGGAGAAGCAGTGCCCTCCACCTGTCAGGCAGATCCCTGGAAGATTTAGGCAGTCCTCACGGATCCCCTCTTCAAAGGATCCTCCTAGATATTCCAGTGGAGGCATCCTCCACTCCAGGGCTCAGTACTTGGCATCACATCTTTTGTTTTCTTTAATCTCAAGAGGTTAAAGGCAAGAGGATGTCTCATGCCTCTGTTTTACAGATGGAGAAATTGAGGCCCAGATAAGCCAAATGAGAATCACTTGGGTAGCCAGGGACAGCGTGGACAGGGATGGAGGCCTGACTGACTCTTTGCTGGGCCATTGCCACCATCACCACTGGACCCCTCTCTCCTCCCCAAACCAGCCTGCCCTGGAGGTGAGGGGTCCCCTGGTGTTGGGCAGGGGTCAGGCCCTGTGTTGGAGTTGGGAAGTTTGTGAGGCTCAGAAAGGTACTATCAGCTAGAGGAACTCTAGGAGTCTGGAGTCCCCTAGACCTTGAGTGGCCAAGAGAAGACAGACTGTCTCCATTCCCATCCTTTTCTGTCCTCCTGGCTTCTTAGGCAGCCTTTCCACTCTGGCTTTTTTTCCTGCTCTGTCCATCCTACCTCTGAGGTGACATTTCCTGAGCACTCACTACCTGTGAATGAGGTTCTGTCAAGTCACCCCTCCTGATGCAGGGGAACAGGGCACCAAAAGGCTAGTGAGGTCAAGGGTTGTTTTGGAGGGACTGAACAGAGGTCTTGTGGCACAGGAGCCTTTGAGGGGAACTGGGAGGAGTGGGCATTCACCTGCTACCAGCCTGGGAAGGGAGGCCCCAAGCAGGAAACAGCTTTGCTGAGACAAGTCGTGGTATGTGTTGGCGGGGTGGGGGGGGGGGGGGGGCATGGCCTCTGTGTGGCTTTTGGGACCTTGACATCCTATCAGAAGATCTTGACTTCAGAGGCACCTGTGTGGCTCAGTCGGTTAAGTGCCCAACTTTGGCTCAGGTCATGATCTTACAGTTCATGGGTTTGAGCCCTGCATCAGGCTCTGTACTGGCAGCTCAGAGGCTGGAGCCTGCTTTGGATTCTGTGTCTCCCTCTCTCTCAGCCCCGCCCCTGCTTGTCCTCAGATTCTCCCTCAAAAATGAATAAACGTTAAAAAAAAAAAAAAAAAAAAGGTCTTGACTTTAGCCAAAGTGGTCTCCTGGTTGTCAGGGCATTCTGGTTAATGCAGGAAAGACCCTGGCGGCTCCTGCTGGGGAGCAGTGCACCTCTCGGCCACTTGTAGTCAAGGCGAAACCAACTCTCAGCTTAGTTCTCAGGAAGTAAGCTCAGGAGGTTCCTGGGGCCCACTGGGCCAGGTTGGGTAGTCTGACCCTGAGTACTTTGCTGCTTCAGGGTGCTTGGAGGTGGGAGGGGATCATCCTTGAGGCCGAGGAAATGGCCACTGCGCAGGAGCTGAGAGTCCTGAGAGTAGTAGACACAGAAGCGCATGAACAAGTGCATCAGGAGCCACTTGATAGCAGCAGAGGAAGGAAGAGGCAGATCTCTTATTAAACTAGGATGGGAGTGGAGAGTCAGGGAAGACTTCTTTGAAGGTATTCGGGCCTTGAAGAATCAGGACAAGTGGATACGGAGGGTCAGCGCATTCCAAGTGGCCGATACGGAGCGCGCTGGGGTTTGCGCATGCTTAGGCAAAAGCCAAGCGATCGACGCGCTCTATCCTCCTTCACTCAGGTCTGATTCCACTTGCTACTCTCTCACTGATTGGCATTGAACGAATCGAGCCTTACAACCTTTCTCTTTGCCGTGCCCTCCCCCAACAGGCGAAGAGAGTCGCGGGGAAAGATAGGGCGGGCCCTCCTTAGCAACTCGGTATTGATTGGCTTTCAAGACTTCCTGTTCTCCCATTCCCGTCCCTGGATTGGCCACCAGAGGTACATCTACTCCTTGGGCCTGCGCATTGCGGGACGAGGGAAGAGGCGGGCGGGTAACATGGCCGCTACTGCGGCTGGTGTGGGCCGGCTAGAGGAAGAGGCGTTGCGGCGAAAGGAACGGCTGAAAGCCCTACGGGAAAAAACCGGGCGCAAGGTGAGGAATGCGGAGTGAGGGCCGTGGATGAGGTAGTCAGCGTTGGGATCCAGAACAGGGACGAGAGGACAGGAGAGTAAGAAAAGGCAGCTGCTAAGGACGCGCATGCGCGCCCGTCTGGAGCATGCGCGAGGAGTCGTAGCCCGCCTACCAAGTCTGTGCTAACTGCCTGGGACTCTTGGCGCTGATGCTGTGGTCGCGCATGCGCGGGGGTGGGGCGGGCAGTGGTGAGCGCGCTACGGTCTTCACTACTGTCTGGTGTTTCTCGCGTGGGTCTCCTGGGCAACTTCTAAGTTGGAGATGCTCGTTGGATTAGGTGTGATTTTTTTTTCGCGTATGAGCGCCCTGAATCATCCGTTTCCCCACGACCCAGCCGGCCTTCCATCTCTGGTGAAATTCACTGAATTTGGCAGACGCCTGCCCACCAGTGCGCCTTGGGCACGGCAGTACGAGACTGTGCTCTGGTCGTTGAGCTGGAGTCGATGAGTACAAAGTCTAAAAAGAAAAGCCCAATTTCTTGGTCATGGTGCACCTCAGGGAAAGGGGGGGAACACTTCCCAGGCTACTTCTCTGGGGATGGATCTCCTAGTCCTATTAGTGGCCAAACTTGGAAGCCTCTTCTTTGCTTTTGTTTGGCACCAAAATAGTCCGATAACATTTCCACTTTCTTGATCTTTCTGAGTAATCAGGAGGAAGGAGAGCTCTGAAGTTCATTACCTGTGCGAAGTTCATAACCCTGTCCCTGTCACTTGGGGTCGTGGGACTTGGGACAAATGCCTTCATCTCCTTGATCCTGTTTCTTTTTAAATTTTTTTTAAGTTTATTTATTTTTGAGAGAGAGTGAGAGGGGGAGGGGCAGAGAGAGGGAGAGAGAGAATCTCAGACAGGCTGCACACTATCAGCGTGGAGCTGGATGTGGGGCTCTAACTCACAAAACCATGAGATTGTGACCTGAACTGAAACAAAGAGTTGGATGCTTAACTGACTGAGCCACCCAGGAGCCGCTTCTTGAGCCTGTTTCTTCATGTCTGCAGTGGAGGATAGCAACCCCTCTAGATTAATTCTTGCTGCGTTATTTTGAGATCTGACAGGATCATCTGTATGAAAGAGCACTAGAGACCACAGAGCGGGGAGGTTGTCAGTTCTGCTCTCCTTGGATGAGCAAAAACTCCTCTCTCAATTCTACAAAGTACAAAGGATGGTAAATATCTAGACCTTCGAGGGATGGGGGAAAACAGGGACTCAACTTTCCAACTTTAAAGACTCAGACTGGCCAATCTGGCCCCTGTTTCCTTTCTACAGGGCGGTCTGGTATCCTGAGGGAAAGTACAAGGGGAAGTAATAGAGAGTGAAAACTAGCCAGATTGGCTTCTGCTTTTGTTGGCAACTTGTCGGCCGTGTCAGATCGCTGTGCTCAAAAACTGCCTGACCTAGGGAAGCTCAAGCCTCAGCCTCTCAGTGGGTAGCCGGTCTGTGCTGTTGGGTTGTATTTAGGGCCCACATTATTGGGGCTGGACTTGAGGTCAGAATACAAAGGACAACGTAGCATCTTCAAGGCCCATTGCCATGGAAAAGGTGCCCAGGAGCACTGGCTTTTAAAGAAGGATTCTCAGGGTGCCTGGGTGGCTCAGTCAACCGACTCTTGGTTTCGGCTCACATCATGATCTCACCATTTTTGGGATCAAGCCCCATGTTGGGCTCTGCGCTGACAGCACAGGGCCTGCTTGGGATTCTCTCTCTCTCTCTCTGATCCTCCCCAGCTCATGGTCTAAATAAATAAATAAATAAATAAACCTAAAAAAAAAAAAAAAGTGGAATTCTCTCAATGGGCTGAAAATATGTCCTGATTGCTATTTTTTCTCAAAAATGTTTTATTGTGGTAGAATACACATAACATAAAATTTACTATTTGAAATATGCTCTTAACGGTGTATAACTCTACCATGATGTCCAGACCTTTTTAATCATCCCAGATATAAACTCTGTACCCATTAAACAATAACTTCCCATTCCCTTCTCACCCCAGCCGCTGACAACCACCATTCTATGAATTTGACTACTTCAGGTATCTTACATAAGTAGAATCATATACTATTTGGCTTTTTATGACTAGCTTATTTCACTCAGCGTAATGTTTTTAAGGTTTATCCGTGTTGTAGCATGTGTGAAATTTCATTCCTATCTAAACCTCAATATTACTTTGTACACATAC